AAAACCAAGCTCCCCAGCCAAAGAAACAACTATTATTTTTTCCCCTCTTACCAACCCCTGGATGATGGAATAGATACCTTAAGATGTGTTCAGACAGAAATTAGATTTTTTTTACTGAAAAGGATAGGTTTTAAGACGAGGCTTATATCATTCCTAGCTTAGTGCATTTTGGCGCCCGGGGGTCAACCTTTACCACAGTGAATAAATAAGACATTCCAAGCTGTACATTGAAAACAACTCGCACTTATATAGCCCCTTTCACATAGGAAAACGTCTCAAAGTGTTTTGGGGATCTTTTGACACAACAATCCCCACCACCTCCCTGATGAAGGTGTTCTCTTAAGAACTTGTGTTTCTTAAGACTGAGGATATGACTTCCATCTCTCTCCATTCCCCAACTCTGTTGCGAGTTGTAAGACAGTTTCTGTTTGTCTGCACGTTTCCTGAGTTTACAGACTTCTTGGCAAATCCTTACATTCTGCACTTACACATTACAAATCTCTCCCTGATCCAAAACTCTCCAGCCTGGCTCAGTTGGTAGCACTCTCACCTCTGAGTCAGAAGGTCGAGGGTTCAAGCCCCACATTGAGCTCACAGTCTAGGCTGATGCTCCAGCGTAGGGAACCCTGGAACGCTAGAGGTACTGCCATTCAAATGAGCCATTAATCACAGGTCCTGTCTGTTTGTTCAGATGAACATTAAAGATCCCATGGCACTATTAGAAAAAGAGAAGGGAGTTTCTACCAGTGTCCTGGCTACCAATCCTCCAGATAAAATTAATCATTCACTTCATGGCTGTTTGTAGGACATTGCGGTCCTATATTCACCCAACAAATACACATTATGACACTCTACTGTAAATCCTTTGATGCGCTTTGAGACGTTTTGATGGTCTGATAAGGTGTTATATTGAATGCAAAGATTATTATTATGATTATTATTTCCTCTCCCCAGAAACTTTTTGGTTCCATATGCAAACTAAATGGAAGGGAAATATTCTGGTTGAAATCCTTTTCCTGTTTTTTAATCCCTGAACCCACTTTACATTAAATGACCTATGATTCAGTTGGCCATTCATTGTTTTGTTAAGAGCTTAAATGCACCACAAGCTATTTGTCTAAGGACTTTGCCCGTCTCTGGACAACAACAACAACTTGCATTTATATAGCACGCTTCACGCAGGCTAGCATCTCAGAGCGCTTATAGTATTCATTGGGCACCCTCTTGTTGCTTTGACATTCTGTCCTCCCTAAACACACATCCCGTCACTCAATTTGGTCATTCAATCCAACACTGTTTGTGGACGCTGCTGTGAGCAATTGGTTGCCACGTTTCGCCCACAAAAATATACAGTCAATTCACTTTAGAATATATTCTGTGAAGCACTTTGAGACGTCTCGACGATGTGATAAGGCGCTATATGAAATGCGAGTGTCATTCGCATTATATTATTTTTGTCCTCAGAAACCAACCCTACCTCCCCTGAATCGGTTCAGCAATAAACAGCCTTCATTTCACTCCACATCTTCATTATACATTCACAAATGATGATATACTGCACTGCAAGTCAATCACAATCGGGTTCTGTGTAAAATATCAATTAGTGCAAGGGCCGGCAGCAGTGTGTGTGGCAGATTGTGGTCAGCATGTGAAACACAAGAAAAGATAGCAAGGCTCCAATAGGAAATTATAATACAATACATATTGAAATGGAGCCTTTCATGACGGGAGGATGTCTAGTAAATGAATTGAGTGGTTCACTCGAAACTGAAGCGATTAATTTATTTCGATCAGCATTGATCTAATGGGATTGACATTGCACATCAGACATCCCCCGTCCCACCCCTTCCCCGCCCCCCCTCTAGACAATGGGGTCTAATTTGCGAGTTGGGTTAACCATGTGCAAATAATGCCCTTGTAACTAATGAAATAGGTGATTCTGTAATGACACTATTAAGTGCCTGGAATTCCCTTTACAGATGTGTTTGCACACATTCAACACAACACACGAATTCCTCATATAGGCTGTTAATTAGAGATTTTTTGGGGGTCAGTCAGGCATCTGACAGATGGGGAAACCCATCACCATGCTAAAGGGCATTGAAACATGGAACTGATGGGTTCCTGTGGGTGCCAGACACCCAGCTTACCAAAAATAAATACTAAACGAGTATTTCATCAAGCACTGTCATCAGATGTATAAACCTAGATTCTGAGTGAATTAAGTCTCTCCGTGAATTGCAACGCAGACTTTTCCTCTGTTATTTTCTAATATATTTGTGAGCCTGATTTGGCTCAGTTGGTAGCACTCCTGCCTCCGAGTCAGAAAGTCGTGGGTTCAAGTCCCACGTCATGATCCTATGGTCTAGGCTGACACTCCAATGCAGGGCTGGGGGAGCGCTGCATTGTTGGAGGTGCCGTCCTTCAGGTGAAATATTAAACTGAGGTCCCGTCTGCCTACTCGGGTGGACGTTCAAGATCAACCACATTCCAAATGCTACAGGATTAATAAGAGGCAGCAAAAATGACTATTAAACCCAACGCATCATTTCTATTTCCGAACCTCACCAAAGCATAGCGGCTCTTACTTAGCTCAAGATTGGAATAAGCACTTTTGTTTGGATTTTTAAAAAAAAAAAGAATTATTAAGGAAAATAAACTGCACTGGTTTTGCTAGCTCAGAGGGGAGGCAGTACAATGCAGTGAATTAATTTTGTCTCTCTTCATTATAAGGCAAGGAACGGTTTTGAATGTGTCCATTTTAACCATTGGTATCAGTCTGGCTCAAACGAGATGGGAGAGGTAAAAGCAGGGAGTTCCAGAGGTTAGGGGCATAATCCTAAACGGACAATCTGTTAGGATTCATCAGTGAAAAGTATTTACTCTTAGAGAAATCTGCATCTGCGCTCACTCTAACGACTGTTTGTGGAACACTGCTGTGCACAATTGGCCATGCTGTTTTGCCCACAAAATACACAGTCAATTCACTTTGCAATACATTCCGTGAAGCGCATTGAGACATCTCAACGACGTGATTAGGCGTTCTGTCAAACGCAAGGATTATTATTTAGATAGCATGTAAATGCATGACCTGCATTTCACGATCTATTTTTTAAAACTCCTTCCCTTCGCTCATTAGAGCTAAAGCAATGTTCTGAGTGTCAATGGACGGAGTGATTGTTAGGCTCTATTCCTGGCTTCCTCAACTGGCCATTTCCTTTGTGATTCTCAAGCTATCGCTCAACTGGCTTGTGATGGTGTCGCAAATACATGAAAAAGAAACACTTTACCTAATCGTAAGCTGTGCTTAAAATGTGCTTTCCTGGATCAAAGACTGTTCACAACATCTCGCAATATAAGTGCTATTCAATTGTTAGTGGGAGGTGAAGGGGTGGGTGGGTGTGAGGTAAAGGAGAAGTAAAGTGTGTGGGAGAGACTGCATTTGAGTGACTGAGGCTCGAGAGAGACAAACAAACTAGTCAGTCGGGTGCCAGAAAAATCCGCACGCTTGTGTTTTTAAAATAAATCACTGCACGGAGCAAAGTACTAAGCCACCTGACGTAAAACAACTCTGCCAGAACTATTAGAGAGATTTCAAAAAGGTAAATGCATAAATTAAGTGCTGTAAAAGGTAACTAAGTTAAAATAAAACATAAATACTGTACAGAAGGACTGATACGGTACAACCCAACAGAAAATAAGCTTCAGCTTTGATCATAGCGTATAGCGGATTTGGGAGGTGGGTGGTGGGGTGGGGGGTTAAGTGGCTGTGGTTTAAACAGCGCTTCTGCAAAGGTCTTGAGAGGCTGAAATTCTTCTGCTTTTTTTTTGCATCTTCACGAAACGATGGTCCCCAGCGATCTTGGTCACATATTGCACATTGTCACTGTACACAAGCCCTCCGGCCTCGGTATCAAACTCGCTTTCCCATGCTACACGAAAGGAGGCAGTCTGTACAACACACACCCAAGGCGCACGCACAAGCAGCAAGTGGGGGTGGGGGGTGTGGGGGGTGGGGGGAGAGGGCATTCGGACACGATGAGCTACTTCACCACCCAAGTCTCCACAGTCAGTCCTTGGGGTCCCATGGTGTCCGTGCATGGAGAGGCGGGGTAGTTAGAAGCACGATTCTCCTGCATGCAGAGATAAGCCACTGAGCATCACTTGAACCATTCATCTTAGGTATCCGAGGAGATATGCAGCACAGCAAGTTTCCATTTTGCAAAAGTGGTATAAATATGACAACATTCAGACGAACAAAGGGGAGGGAGGTTTACGGGGTGGTCTACTGAACTGCAGAAAGTACACCCATCTCCAGAAGGTCTCTTTTCTTTCCTTCAATCGGGGACAATAAAGACAAGTAAAAAGTCCTGGCCACAACATCGATGCCAGGCACTAATCGGGTCCTTACCCAGGTTCCCCATGCACGACCATCTCACTAGGAAATAAATACTTAAAAACGGCACTGTCAGGCATTACCAAAGAAATATACTGCTCAGGGTACTTTTTTTAAAAAAAAACATTACTGCCAGCTTTTCTTGTTTGCACCGTTACGTAAAAGAGAAAGACTGAGCCCCCGCTAACAAATGGAGATTTTCACTGGTTCCCACAAGTTCTTGCCATTCGCTTTAACATCCTGGGGGAACGAGGAATGACAACATTTCTCTGGTTGCAAATGTAGTGACTTACATCCTGCCAAAGGAAGCTACGTTTATCACAGACGAGGGTGCGGAGTCTATTCTCTCTGATATACGCTCGCTGTGACACACGGTGTGGCGTCCCAATCTTGGCTTTAAACTCAAGACCATGCATTCGTCTAATCTGTTGACGCCCAGTAAGACTGCTGGCATTTTACTCAGGGTCCTGCTAGTAAACAGTAGAGAACAAACAACGCGCACAGAGACAGAATGCCTAAGCATCAGACAAAACGCATGGGAGAACAAATGGTGACACTAGTCTGAAGTGTGGCTGCCACCCTTCCCCACTCCAGCACCCCACCCCACCTCGGGGAGAGGCGGGGAGGGGGGGGGAAAGAGAGGTTAGGGGGCTTCCCATCCTCTCAAACGCGCCACAGGAGCAAGTGGTTGGTACTGTCGTCGCGGCCCACCGTCTCGCTGCTGTTGGTGAGCCGGAAATCTTCGTAGCCGTCTCCTCCGCTGATCACCAGTATGTTTGTCTTCAACGGGATGATGGCTGATGACCTGCGCCGTGTGGAGTCTCGTTTCTGCAGCCCGGCCACTCGGTCACCAGCCACGCTCGGGCAACCTGGAGGGTCAAGTCAACAATTAGACACGTCTCACTGACCTTTGATCTTTCCTCCTCTTTGACGCTTCTTTGCACAGAGGACTCGTGAGACCGTGGGTTACCCGGCCCCCAGAAGGTACAGAATCATAAGGATCTTACAACAACGTCAACGACAACTTGCACTTATATCGCACCCTTCACGCAGGGTAGCGTCCCAGTGCGCTTGACAGTGACAGAGAGCGATGCCGAGCTGGGGGGAGGGGGAGTTGACCGTAGGAGCGGTCGAAGAGGAAGGTCTTCAGGTGCGACCTGAAGATGGGGAAGGAGGTGGCGTGGTGAAGGGATAGAGGGAGAGTGTACCAGAGTTCTTACAGCACAGAAGGAGGCCATTCAGGCCATTTGAAAAAACTATCCAATTAGTCCCACTCCTTCACTCGTTCCCCATAGCCGTGTAAATGTTTCCTTTTCAAGCATATGTCCAATTATTATTATTATTAATTCCCTTTTGAAAGTTATTATTGAAGGTATCAGAGGCAGAATCCACTGGGACTCTTAAAATGGATGTGAATAGGGAACAATCCGTGTATTTAAAATATCTCAAAGTTCCTCACAGTAATTAAAGTGTAACAAAGACGATGAGTTCAAAGTCTCGACGTGGGCTTGAAACCACAATCTTCTGACTTAGGAAGGAGGCGGTCTATGTTCTTCACGCATAAATATCCCACAAACAGCTATGGAGTGAGTGAACAATCAAAGGAGAAAGTGCTTCCAACTGAGCCTGTGCTAGTGCCTTATGATTTTGTTTCCAATCCGAAGTAAAGGCACAATAGAGATCAGTGCAGTGCACAGTCAGGGAAAACTTGCCTGGTTCCCTCATTGGAGGGAAAGTGAGATCAAAGACTTCGGGCAGTTCAATGGCCGTCAGAAAGCGCACGTGTCCTGTGTGTCCGTGTGCCGAGCCCATGGGTATCAGCGGCGTCCTGAAGGAGGTGGTGTTGGCAGTGATGTGGGGAATGGATAGTGTTAACACTACCCCAGCGCTGGTTCCAATCCACAGAAGGTCTTTGCAGGCCAGGAGGGCAGTGATCCGAAGGCAGGCTGCCTTGTGCTGACGGATAATGGCATCAGAACCTGCGGGATAAGGAGTTGAGGTACAGATCAGCCATGATCTTATACAATGTTTTTTTTTGTTAGCCTGGTGTCAGACACACACGGAAACCCATCGCCGGGCTTACAAGTATCCAAATCAAATTATAATGATAATAAATAATAATCCTTGCATTTGATATAAGGTCTTTCACATCAGAGACTATCTAAAAGTGCTTCACAGGATATACTGTAAAGTGTAGTGACTGTATATTTGTAGACCAATGCGGCAACTAATGTGGACACAGCATTGGGGGGGAAGTTGTTGAGGGTAAAGTTAACAGCTTTGATGGTTCAGTGGTGTGAGGTTACATAACAATTTTTACCCACTGTACTCTGACACCAACTGAGTGAGAATGAATGGTTAGAAGGGAGATGGCCCGAGACCCCTGTTATTTGGTTACCTGCGAGCATTTTATGCACAGCGGGGGCGACGTCCACTTCAGCGATGTTCTCGTAGGTGTTGGCGTGGTAGAGTTTGACCTGAGCGCTGCTCTGCAGTGCGATCCACACCCCCAGGCCACAGCCCACCAGGCTCGTCACACACCGATTGCTGTCCTGACCAATCTGGATGGTGTGCTGGCATGTAAAGGAGAAACAAGAAGATGTCAGATTGGTGGGCCCCACGTGGATAATAACAATAATAATAATAGTCATTGAGACTTCTCAAAGCTCTTCACAGAATATACTGTAAAATGAATTGACTGTATATTTAGTGGCAAGCATTTGCGCACAGTATTCTTCGACAAATAGTCAAGGATCGAGTGACCAAATTATTATTAATTTTATTTATTTATGCTTGAAGGGATTATTGCTGCCCAGAAAGCGATCCAACAATCGACTAACAACCGGTTTCCTACTTATTGCGAGGTGAACCGAATCAAACCCAGGTCCTCTCGCTTGCGAGGCAACTGCTCTAACCAATACAATACAGGACTCCACAAATGGAGCAGATGGGCAAACTCTTCATAGCTCAGGACAGATTCCTGGTGTCAAACCAACTCGAAGAAACTAAGCAGTGCCTACGGAAACTTTTGACACAAGAATTCTTTCTCAAGTCACCCAATGAATGGCTCATTCGTTGTCCCGCTGAATTTTATTTAATGCTAATCAGATTCAAGGAAAAGGTCTGTCACCTGAGAAGTGATCATTCCCTCACCTTGAATCTACTGAGACCTGCCTCTGGACCTTTAACATCCACCTGAACTGAGTAAGCAGATGTTTGTGTTTAACACTGCTCCCACTCCTGCATTGGAGACTTTGAGCTCAGGTCTCTCAAGACTTTCTGCCCCCACTCTTTGGTACTCCATCCCACAGTCCCTTTGCCTTGCACCCCTTCCTTGCCTCCTTCCAGGCTTGTCTCAAGTCCTTCCTCTTCGACTGTGCCTTTGCTGACTCTCCTACCCCCACCCACCCACCTGACCCCCAACCCTCCTGATCCCCAACCCCCAGGTGGGGTGCACATCCTTGACTGTCCAGCGCTTTGGGACGTCCTCCTGACATGAGAGACGCTGTACATATGTAATTTGTTGCTGTTGTCTCAGCTTGGGTCAGAGGCAAGGTTGGTATCCATTAAGTCAAGCTGGCAACAATTCCAAAAGCAAGATGAATGAATCTCAATTAATGACCCTCCCCACATCGACTGTCGGGAAGGTGTCACTGCCATTGAATGACATGCCCATTGACCAGAATGTCTCATTCCCATTGAATAAGATGCCCATTGGAAGGTTATCCTTGCATTGGATTTGAACGTATTCCACTGTACATTATGGTTGAAGCAGGTAGCTGCTGGGGCTCAGCCTTGCGGAGAATAGATCAGCACTCACCTCGTGGGTCAGGTTTGCTGTGTTCATGATGAGAATCCGATTCTGGCAACCGCACCAAAGCTTTCCCGCCACCGGTACCATTTTGGTGACAGGACTTCCCGGCGAACCCAAACACAATGTTTGAGCATTGTGTGGATCCCAGAAACTTCCTGCGGGAAAGTGATAACAATAATAATAATAATAATAATCCTTGCATTTGATATTGCACCTTATCACGTCATTGAGATGTCTCAAAGCCCTTCACAGAATATATTGTAGAATGAACTGACTGTATGTTTTGTGGGCGAAACGTGGCAACCAATAGCGCACAGCAGTGTCTCACAAACAGTTATGGATTGAGTGACCAATTTTTTTTGCGGGGGAGGGACTATTACCCCCGGAAAGTAATCCGCCAATCGACTAACAACCAGCTTCCTATTTACTGCGAGGTAAGCAGAGGTGTGTGAAGTAGGGAAACTTTCCTAAGGTTTCATCCTGCCCGGGAATTGAACCCGGGTCCTCTCACCACTACTCTACAGGTTAATATGAGTGAGGGATGCCTGAGAGCAATGCCTAGGATGCCTAGTCACAATGCTTCTTCAGATTTGATGCGCTAATGTCTAAGCTGTGAGGCAATACTCTCGTGAAGGATGCTATATAAATGCAAGTTGTTGATGTTAGTTAGGCTGCGTGGGAGACTTTGATTATTTAACTGGAATTGGCAGCAGTTCTCAAACAAACCTGCGTCTCTCTGGTACGCTATCAGTTCTCCATTCGCCAGGGACACAAACACCTTATTGTCCAGGTATCTGAAATGAAGGAAAGCAGAAGATAACAGTCATCACAACATACCAGGCCAACTCCGAGCACAAGATCACAAGAGAAGTTCAGGTGATGAAGGCCCTTCGGCTCATTTGACCTCATCTTTCCAGAACACACACCCTGCCACCTTCCCATTACGGCATCGAGCTCCTTCAAACCTAAAGTGATAAGAGATTCTCCCTCCTGTCTTCTGAAGGGGTTGATTTACACTGTGTATCACTTGCCTCAGCGGCACTTTTTGCATGGAATTTTCCCCTATTTACTAACAATGGGGCAATATTTGAAAATTATATAATAATCCTTGCATTTGATAGTGTCCTATCACTTTGTCGATACGTCTCAAAATGCTTTACGGGATATTATTGTGAAGTGCAGTGACTATGAACTCATCCTATCCCTAAAACCAACCACCTGCTCCCTTGACCCCATCCCCACTCCACTCCTTATCTCCCAGCTCCATTTTCTTGCCCCACACATCACTGACATCATAAACCTGTCCCTCTCCTCTGGCTCTGTCCCCATTCCATTAAAAACTGCCATCATCACGCCCACCCTGAAAAAACCCTCCCTTGATGCGTCGCAGCTATCAAGCTACCGGCCCATCTCCAACCTCCCCTTTCTCTCCAAGGTCTTGGAAAGAGTTGTCGCCTCCCAACTGCGCTCTTTCCTTTCCACCCATTCTCTTTTTGAACCCCTTCAGTCAGGTTTCCGTGCTGCTCATAGCACAGAAACTGCCCTGGTCAAGGTCACCAATGATATCCTGACCATCTGTGACCAGGGCTCCCTCTGTCTCCTCGTCCTCCTCGACCTATCGGCAGCATTCGATACGGTCGACCACGCTATCCTACTCCACCGCTTGTCCTCCCACCTCAACCTTCAAGGCACTGTCCTTGAATGGTTTAGGTCGTACCTTTCCCACCGTCTTCACTTCGTCTCAACGAATGGCTTCTCCTCCACCCCCCGTACTGTCTCATGTGGTGTCCCTCAGGGCTCTGTCCTCGGTCCCCTCCTCTTCACCCTCTATATGCTCCCCCTTGGTGACATCATCCGCAACATGGGGTTAACTTCCACATGTATGCGGATGACACCCAACTCTACCTTTCCTCCTCTACTCTCAACTCCACGACCACCGATGTCCTGACAGCCTGCCTGTCCGACATCGAGTCCTGGACGAGAGACAACTTTCTTCAGCTCAACGTGCGAAAAACCGAGGCCCTCCTGATTGGCTCACGTCAGCGCCTCCGCACCTCAGGCGCTGACACCATCAGCATCCAAGGCTGCACTCTCCACCTCTCAAAGCCAGTCAGGAACCTCGGCGTTTTGTTCGACCCTGAGCTGTCCTTTCTCCCTCACATCCGCACCACAACTGGCACCGCCTTCCATCACCTCCGGAATATCGCCAGATTACGGCACTACCTCACCCCTCACGCTGCTGAAACCCTGGTTCACGCCTTTGTCACCTCAAGGCTGGACTATGGGAACTCTCTCCTCGCCGGCCTTCCCGCCACCTCCCTCCACAAGCTGCAGGTCATTCAGAACTCTGCAGCTCGTGTACTGTCCCGCACCAGGCTTCGGGACCACATCACTCCCACCCTCGCTCGCCTCCACTGGCTCCCCATCCCCCAGAGGATTGATTTCAAGATCCTCATCCTCACCTACAAGGCCATTCACGGCCTTGCTCCCTCCTACCTCTCCAACCTACTATCCCCCTACCTACCTGCCCGTACCCTCCGTTCCTCTGGCTCCGGTCTGCTCCACGTCCCCCGCCCCAACCGCCCTACCATCGGTGGTCGGGCCTTCAGCCTCTCAGCCCCAGGCTCTGGAACTCCATCCCCCAGTGCCTTCGCCGCTTCCTCCCTTTCCTCCTTCAAGGCCGGTCTCAAAACCTTTCTCTTTGACCGTGCCTTCAGCTCCCCTCTCGACTCTCTTCCTCCTCCTCGCTCCCTCCCTTCCCTCCCCTCACCCTGACCATTTCCCCCTCCTCGCTCCCTCCCTTCCCTCCCCTCACCCTGACCATTTCCCCCCTGCTCGGGTCATGACCCAACTGTACAGCGCCTTGGGACGTCCTCCTGACGTGAAAGGCGCTCTATAAATGGAATCTTGTTGTTGTTGTTGTTGTATGTATTTGTAAGACATTGTGGCAGCCAATTTGCGCCCAGCAATGTCCCACAAATGGCCTTAAAGTGAGTGGTCAACCTTCCTCTTCGAAGGCGCGGAGGTGAGGGGGTGAGGCTGAGGGAATGCGGGATAGAGTTCTAGAGCGTGGGAGCAGAGATGCTGAATTCCCTACTGCAATGGTGGAGCGGGAAGTGCGGGGGACCTGACGCAGGCCAATGTCTGCCAAGCGGAGGGAGGAGACAGACTGATATGGGGTTAGGAGGTCATAGAGCAAGACCATGGAGGGCTTTGAAGGTGAGAACGTCCCTTCCCTCGATACTCTGAGGGACGGGGAGCCAGTGAAGCCGGGCAAGGATGGGGGGTGATCGGCTCGAAGGTAGACGAGATGGACCCCTTTTGTTTTTCGTCCAGCAATTCCTATGTTGCCGTGTTCCCTACGTTCCACTGGAACATTGGCCTGGTCTGTGATCTTAAATCTAAACATTGGGATTACACTCTCATTCTTCCAGAGGAGAGTGTTTCTGATCCACACATAGCTCAGCTTGATAGCACTCTCTGCGTAAAATAATGTTTAAAAGCTGTACTCACAGGATGCACATGACTGCCGCAGAGTGTTGCATCTTCATACTGTTCTTCCGGTTGCGGATGTTATCAGACGATTGATAGACATGAATGCTGAAGGGACGGGAAAACATCATTACGTTATTCTCATTCAAATCGAACAACAACTGAGATGTTTGAGCTGACGTGAATAGGGAAAAGTAAAACAACAATAGGCTGTAAATACTGTATGGTTTTGTGCACCATTGCAGTATATGAGACCCACACCAGCGACACCTTGTGGCCACAAACAGGTACTGTCCCATTTCCGACTGCCCAAAGTCATTCAAGTACAATTTAAGACAAAGGTAAAGATTGACAGTTTTAAGAGTAAAATGTACGCTTTAAACAGAACAGATGGGGGGAAAATGTTTAAATAACTTTTAAACGTCCTGTAGCTCAGTGGTTAGAGCACTCGCCTCGCAAGCGAGAGACCTGGGTTCAGTTCCCGACAGGGCAAAACCTTGGGCAAGTTTCCTTACTGCCGACGGCTGATAATAATACTTCAAGAAAAAAATAATAAAATTGGTTACTAATCCACGACTGTTTGTGGGACGCTGTTGTGCACAATTGGCTGCCTCACTTCACCCACAAAATATACAGTCAATTCACTTAACAGTATATTCTGTGAAGGGATTTGAGGCGTCTCGAAGACGTGAAAAGCGCTATATCAAATGCAAGGGTTAGTATTATTATTATATATGATCTCGGTTTAATATCTCATCCAAAGGTCGTCATTTCTAACAATGTACAACAACAACTTGCATTTATACAGTGCCGCTCACATAGGGTAGCGTTCCGGAGTGCTTTACGGTGGCAGAGCACAATGCCAAGCCGGAAGGAGGGGGAGGTGACTGTAGGCACGGTCGAATAGGAAGGTCTTCAGGCGTGATGTGAAGATGGGTAAAGGAAGGGGCAAGGCAGAGGGATACAGGAAGAGTGTTCCAGAGTTTCAGGGCATAGTGACTGAAAATGTAGCGGTGCCCCACAATACTGCAATAGAACGTGTGTGCTCAAAAGCCTCATGCGGGGGTTTGAACCCACAACCTTCTGTTACAGATACAAGAGTGCCTTCAACTGAACCAAGCTAAAACCCATCGTGCTCCATATGAACATTGCTTAATCGGCAGCAACTATTCAATCAAAATTGCCATTTTTTCCCCAGGCAAATAGTAGAGTTTGTATTATTACCCTTGTGGGTTTGAGAATAGCCACTGGGGATCAGAGCACCACATTATGGGAGAGGTTTATAGATGATGACATTAGTTCACACCATTGGTTATCCTCGTTCCAGCCTTCACAAGAGTGACAACAACAGCATTCAGAAGGCGAGAAGTTCTTGTTCTCAATGGGTTTGTGTTAAGTATTCGAAAGACAGAGACAGAGAATTCCTGTAGCTCAGAAGTGCTGTAGTTCAGTGGTTAGAGCACTCGCCTCGCAAGCGAGAGACCTGGGTTCGATTCCCAGCGGGCCGAACTTTGGGCAAGTTTCCTTACTCCACTCACCTGATAATAATCCCTCAAGAAAAAACAACAAAAAAAAATAATAATTTGGTCACTCAATCCACGACTGTTTGAGGGACATTGCTGTGTGCCGCTCAGAAATATACAGTCAATTGACTTTACAGTATATTTTGTGAAGCGCTTTGAGACGTCTCGAAGACATGGAAAAGCACTATATCAAATGCAAGTATTATTATGTTGAGGTTAACAATGAGCGTGAGCCAAAGAGTCCAGAGTTGTCCTCAACCCAATGAAATCCAAGATACAATCTGTGCTCCAGTCCATTTAGCTTCATACCGTGTTTGTACTGCAAAGCTTCTGACTGATTGTCTGTCAATCTGGCTCAGAAGGTTACATTCTCGTCTCTCGGTTGAGAAACTTGGGAGTTCAAGCCCCACGTCAGCATTTGAACTCAACGTCTAGGCTGACAATACAGTGCTGTACTGGGGGGGATAATAATAACAATAATAATAATAATAATCCTTGCATTTGATATAGCGCTTTTCACGTCGGGAGGACGTCCCAAAGCGCTTCACAGAACACACTGTAAAGTGAATTGACTGTATATTTGTGGGCGAACGCGGCAGCCAATTGCGCACAGCAATGTCCCACAAACGTCGTAGATTGAAAAAGACCAATTTTTATCATTGTTTTTGGTTTTGGAGGGATTATTATTAGGCTCTGTGTGGAGTAAGGAAACTTGCCCAAGGTTTCGCCCTCTGCCTGGAATTGAACTCAGGTCTCTCGCTTGCAAAGCGAGTGCTCTAACCACTGAACTACAGGACTCCACTTAATAATATTAATCCTTGCATTTGATATAGCACCTGATTACGTCTTCGAGATGTCCCAGTGCACTTCACAGAATATATTGTAAAGTAGATTGTCTGTGGATTTTGTGGGCGAAACGCGGCAGCCGATTGCGCACAATTGTGTCCCACAAACAGTCGTGGATTGAGTGACCCAATTTTTTTATATAACTATTTAAGATGGATAGATGGTTGGATGTAAAGTTATTAGGCGAGATGGAGGAAAGGCAGGGGAAAGGGATTAGTAACATAAAGACGTGACATAAGATAATAATGTCCTAAACTTGATGCATACGTGAGTTAAAGGGAATAGAAGGGTTTGGGAAAGGCAATTAGGAGGGTGGTGAGGAGCTATCTACAGCCAATGAAATGAATGACCAACTAATCTGGAGGATTCTTGGCCAGGACAACCATGAGAAACTTGCTTCCTTTTTCAAATAGTATCTTTAATGTCCACCTGAAGAAAAGGCAGGCAGGAACTTGGTTGAACATCTCATCCACCTCCGACAACGCAGTGTTTCACCCGTGCTCTATTTTTTTTTGGTCAGCCGGGTGTCTGACACATGCGGAAACCCATCACCGTGCTTAAGAGCATCCAAACCAAGCTGAGAATTCCATGCATCCCACCTACATGTGGGAATCTCAGAGATAGTTTGTTGGTATGGAATGCGCCTTCTCTCCCTGGAGAGACACATCAGTAACTCTACTGGAGTGTGAGCCAAGATTAGGAAACCGAGTGTTGAACCCACAACCTTCTGACGCAGAGACAGCCCAGGGGTGTAGCCGACTGAGCCACGCTGATAACCGCCTATAGAGGGAGCCACTTACCAGCCGTCTTCTGTGCCCAGCCACATCGAGCTCTGGTTGGCCTCGGGATCAATACTCAGAAGCTCCTCCAGACTGGCCCTTGTGAAGGACCCACGGCTCGAACGCCTCATTGCCCTCCCGTCCATGGGGCTGTCGCTGTTGCGGGTTTGACACACGGAGCGGTTGTTGGCGATGTAATCCGACTCGGCCTCCTCCTCTGAGCTGGTGGTTTCCGTCACAAAATCCTTTGAGCTCAACATCTCCTCATCTGAAGAACAAGCCGGGGTTAGTTAGAGCTATCTTTGGTAAAGTGAGAATCACTCAATCGCCTCACTAAACTATGATAATAGTAACCCTTGAATTTGATACGGCATCTTATCGTGTCGTTAAGACGTCTCAAAGCGCTTCACAGAATATATTGTAAAGTGGATTGACTGTGCATTTTGTGGGCGAAATGCGACAGCCATTTGTGCACAGCAGCGTCCCACAAACAGTCCTGGATTGAGTGACCAATTTGGTTTTACTATCCAGTCTATCCTGAGCAATTACCTGCCAGACCTGGTAAAATGCCCTAATAAAAGGGCTGGAGGCCAAAGAGCTGAATCGTTTTCCCTTCTCCACACACTTTTATTAAACCTACCTCTCCACACACACACACACACTCACTCACTCCAAGGCCTTGGGAACTAAACAGCTCTTGTAAAATGACTCCCTTGTGAAAGCAAACACCCACAGGAGGGAATTGTGGCTGCATTTACTCTAAAAAGACTAGATGTTGAAGTTAGCAGAGGATTTGTTTTACACTGCGGGCAACAAAAAGATATCCAATTTTCGTAGCAATGATTCACCCGGTAAAGCACTGCAGGGGTGACACACACACACACACACACACACTTGTCTCAGGTGTCCCAGCCAGCACTGTGAAGTGCTTTGAGACATCCTCCCAACCTGAAAATACACACTCGAATCACTTTACAGTGTGTTCTGTGAAGCGCTTTGAGACATCTCAATGATGTGATAAGGCGCTACATCAAATGCAAGGATTATTATCATTCTTGGATGAAAGGCTCAAGTGGAGAAGAGGAACAATCAAAGCTAAGGATATTAAGACAGAGATATCGCAGGGTAAAGTGATAATAATAATCCTTGCGTTTGATCTCGCGCCTCATCATGTCTTCGAGGCGTCTTAAAGCGCTTCACAGGATATACTGTAAAGTGCATTGACTGTGTATTTTGTGGGCGAAACGTGGCAGCCATTTGCACCCAGCAGCGTTCCCGCAAACAGCGGTGGGTTGAGCGACCAGATTATTGGAATGAATTAAGAATTAATATTGAAGATCATGCGGAATTGTGGAAAAGTCTCAAATTTCCGAAGCCGTTTTTGTACGAGCTGTGGAAACGCGGCTTCGAAACCCAGCCCGAACCAAAGCGCGCTCCACCTTTCCACGTGTAACGCAGTGGTTTCCCAGGCTAAGTGGCTGTGGCTGCGAGGTGTGTACTCACTCCCGGTGCTGGAGGAGACGGTGGACCTGCTGGCCTGGCTCCGCAGCGTGCCGGACGGGCTGGGGGAAGACTCGTCGTCCTCGGTGTCGTCGCTGTCGAAGGGGTTGAGGCTCCTGCTGCCACTCTCCGTGGACTCTCCCAGCGACTGAGCCGAGCTGGAGATGGAGATGTGGAGCGGCTGCTGTGGACCTGCTTCCTCCACGCAGACGCCAGCAATGCGGTATGCTGTCCCACAGGACGAGGTCTCTGAGCGCTCCCTGTGGATGGGGAGAGGGGGAGGAAACCGTCACTGACGAGGGGCTTTAAAGAAAAAACACGAGCTCACTTTACCTTCTTCCCCCCCCCTCCCATTGTGACTTCCATCCTGCCCAGGCAGATGTGGCCGAATCATCAACGAGCTAAGGGGGGAGGGGGAGAAGCGAAGGGCGGGGGAAAGGGGGAATTGAAGGGGGAAGTGAAGTGGGGGGGGAAGTTACTTGACTCCCAACGCTGTCGTTAACAATAGATTGTGTAGATTACACCAACCACGATTTCTGTCCATGTGAAAATGATGGCCTCCCACCTCCCGTTTAGGGTATAGCTTATGGCTCTGGTTTCCTGCTTGTCCCTCTTCCCCTTCGCTCCACCATCGGCAGCCGTGCTTTCAACCAGCTTTGGAATTCTGGCCCCCACTCCCTCCGCCTTGCTCCCTTTGTCCCGAGTTTTAACTCACGGCTGAAGACCTTTCTCTTCGATCGTGCTTACAGTTCCCTCCCCCTGGCTCAGCCACTGGTAAGCAAGCCCTCCGAGAGACACCGCCCCTTGTGAAGGGCGCTATGTGAATGCAGGTTGTTGTTTATGTGTATGAATGCTGACCTGGAGGTGCCACTGAGCCCTGGCACTGCGGCGATGCAGATAATCCTCGCCGAACACACTGCGATGCAGGCTTCAACCGTGGGCACCGGCTTCACACTCAGCAAACAGACCTGGCCAACATAGCCATCGCTGTTACACACCCAAACCTCATGAGTGTTGTCCGGGCCGCCATGGCTGGGAGATGCGCAGGAGAACTGAAAGGGGACACAAGGGTTGTCAGTCAACCTTTTAATGTTGCCCACAAAAACATACAACTTCAATTCACTTTGCGAATTCTGTGAAGCGCTTTGCGTCATCTTAATGATGTGATAAGGCGCTATATTAAATGCAAGAATTATTATTATTAGCTCTTCCAACTCATACAAACAGACAGCCACACAAACCGACAAAGACACACACAAATAAACACACACACACACACAGAGCAGCCTCACTATTGCAATCCTCAAAGAATTAGATCTTAGCAGATGTCTCAGATTCACCTGCATTCCACTGCGTGTCTTCATGATGGGAATGGCCTTCAGGAATTCCGGGTCCCAGTGATCTTTGTTCAAAGCTGTAAGAAAAAAAACAAATGGAACCATGGAAACTTACAGCACAAAAAAGAGGCCATTTGGCCCATTGAGTCTGCACCGGCTCCCAAAGCAAGGTGTTATTATTATATTCTGATGAATTATTCTGACCTGAAACATGAACTCGATTTTCTCTCTCCATAGATGCTGCTTGCTCCCAGCGACTTCTGTTTTTATTTGTGTTATGATTATTATTATTCATTATTCAATCCCACTGCCCTGCCTTAACCCCAAATCCCATAATAATATTAATAATAATAATCCTTGCATTTGATATAGAGCTTTTCACGTCGGGAGGACGTCCCAAAGCGCTTCACAGAACACACTGTAAAGTGAATTGACTGTATATTTGTGGGCGAACGCGGCAGCCAATTGCGCACAGCAATGTCCCACAAACAGTCGTAGATTGAAAATGACCAATTTATTATTGTTTTTGGTTTTGGAGGGATTATTATTAGGCTCTGTGTGGAGTAAGGAAACTTGCCCAAGGTTTCGCCCTCTGCCTGGAATTGAACTCAGGTCTCCCGCTTGCAAAGCGAGTGCTCTAACCACTGAGCTACAGGACTCCCATGGTACGAACGTAGCAGCAAAACTACTGACTGGAAATAAATGCGAGAGTCACATCACGCATTTGTCAATCAAACAGCTCGGAAATCATCCGACTGATTCCTTATAAATGAAAGACTTTGGGGGCGAAGTTTGAGAATTCCTTAAGAGTGTGTCGTGCTAATTAACGCTGGCAAACATGACCACCAGATGGCAGCACACACTCCTGGTAACTGGACGCTCTCAACCAGATGAGATCGCAGTCACCTTTGACATCACTGACGCCAGGGGAGTGAGAGCTGTCGTAAATTTAATTTATTTTTTTGCTTAAGAATTATTTTCTTGCAAAAAAGTCACCCTTTGCCCATCAGGTGGCTAAATGTTATTGAAATGAGGAATAAACCCAGGTCTTTTCAGATCCTGTAATGGGGGAGGGGGGGGTGGGGGGTAGGGGTTGGTGGGCAGAGTTCAGCTACCCATGAAACGTCAAGTAGAAGTCCATTTGGACTTGAAGGTCCACTCCTCCACTCACACACTCACTCGCCCTCGAATTTCACCTTGCAGCATGCTGGTAAGAGCGTGTCTCCTGTCCCGTGACCTCCACTCTAATGATGCGCAATTGGCCGACTCGCTTTCTCCCACAACATATACAGTCGATCCACTTTACAATCCATCCCGTGAAGCGCTTTGACACGTATCAACAATGTGATAAGGCGCTACATCAAATGCAAGGATTATTATTACGATGCTGCTTGTTCCTCACTCTCCCTTTCTCAACATCAGTGGTCGAGCCTTCAGCAACCATTCCCTGCTCCCCACAATTCTCTCCCCAAATCCCTTTGGTTTGCCCTTCAGTTGGGGTTGCACTTTGGGTTAAATTAGATTTTAAACCACGGTCCCTTTTGCCTGTTCTCCACAACGTGATGTGAAAGGCACCATAATAAAGTATATATAATGTAAATTTGTTGTAGTTCTTCTTGTAACTGAGCCACACAACGTTGGGATCATGTTCTGGAATTAACTGGATGGTTCCCAATGAGTGGGAGAATGCGAGTGATCCACTGCAATGTGGACTTGCTGAGTACAGTTACAGATTGTGCCCATCCTCTTTCACACTGAGCAAAAACCCCACAGGAGGTCTGAAAGACAACTTCCTTCTTTCCCTTTCTCACCGATTGCCAAACTGTTCCTCCTCACAGGCGAGCCTGAGCGGCACAGTCATGAGCTTGTGTGCTAAATTATATATGACAATGCACAGTTAAGGGTTTATAAGCTGTGACATGCAACCAGTGTAGTTTATCAAAAGAGATTACTGTCTTTTCAAAGTCTGAGTTATGTTAACATTTACGACTGGGACATGATGACATGCGAGAGAAGCTTAAGCCAAGAGAATGTTGCTGGCTTGGTTTCCAGTCTTGTTGGAGGCTTTATAAATACCTGAGGCTGCACGAATTAGACTGTGAGAATCCAAGCAGTGCTGTGTCAGACACAAGGCTTAACTGGCTCGGAGACACTGAGCCAGAAGAGAAAGTTCTGCCGCATCAACAGGGGGTCTGGCCCCAAGTCAAGAAATGGCAGAATATGAGAACTTCCTAGTCTTGTCAAGAAGCTTGTTGATGACTGGCCAAAATTACCAGTGGCATTGAATCTGGAGAGTGTTCTAAACATTGCACCCACTCAAAGTGACGTCTCACTCCTGTGTACTTCTCCTCCGCCCTCTTTCCTTCCGTGTCTGGCTCCATTACATGTTAATACATTAAGACCCAATTGTCACCATTTGAAAGGATTGAATAATCCCTTTAAAAAACAATTTGGTCACTCAATCCACACCTGTTTGTGGGACGCTGCTGTGCTCAATTGGCTGCCGCTTTTTGCCCACAAAATATACAATCAATTAAGTTTACAGTATATTCTGTGAAGCGCTTTGAGCCGTCTCGAAGACGTGATAAGGCGCTATATCAAATGCAAGGATTATTATTTTTAATGCATTTTCTAACCAACTGTGAATCTTTTCTAAAATTCAAGCATGAATTCTAATAATAAATAACAACAATAATAATAATCCTTGCATTTGATATAGCGCCTGTTCATGTCGGGAGATCGTCTCAAAACTCTGCGCAGGATATATTGTGCAGTGTAGTGACTGTGTATTTTGTGGGTGAATGCTGCAGCCAATTTATGCACAGCAGTGTCCCACAAACAGCTGTGAAGTGAACAATCAATTTGGTGGGGTGGGGGGGGAGAATTATTGGCCTGGACACCGAGAGAAACTCCTTTCTCGTTTTGAATGTATGCCGTGCGCAATTACACTGCCATGTTTGCCTACAACTACACAGTCACTCCATTTCACAGGATACCCTGTGATGTGCTTTGAGATCTCCTTCTGACATGTTGAGGCGTTTTACCCAATGCAAGATTTATTATTATTATAATCCCACATGATCTTAGTTTTAAAAGCTTTGTCTTAATAGGGTAACATCACACGGAATTGGGAAAATGCTTTGATTCAGTTTCACGTTACACATTGTTTTTCCACGGGTTTTTCTTTCAAAAAAAATAAAATTTCAAGGCAACGCTCTTAATGCTAAGATCGTAATGATATAAGACCTGAGTATAATAATAATAATGCTTGCGTTGGATCAAGCGCCTTATCACGTCGTTGAGATGTCTCAAAGCACTTCATAGAATATACTTTGTAGTGTAGTGACTGTGTGTTTTGTGGGAGAAATGCAGCAGACAATTAGGTGGAGGAAAAGAGCAGCATGGACTTGCAAGTGTATTTTTTGAGGGACAAAGGGGATTCTTTCTGCACTGTGATGTGACACATACCTAATTTCTTCTTGGTCTCCTCAAAGGCCTGCTCAAAGCTCGCTCGTGCCTCAATGCTACTGAACTCGAAGACGAAGGTCTCCGTGCCATCGGGGGTGGTTGCGGTCATTTCCACTTTGGTGAGCGGGAACATGGTGCTGACCGCGAGTGACTGCTTCTCCGACAGTTCCCGGTTCACAGAGGCCATCAGATCTTTAATGACGTCATCCAAACTCTACAAAGAGAGGAGAGCATTGATTCTGCACAGCTGCAAGTTAGCGTGTGACCAACATAAGCGTGAAGACCCAGGCTCGATTCCCTGAGGCAAGTTTCCTAACTCCATTCCAAGAGGGAGAAAGGTAACCAGGGCTTTCCCTTGTAATAAGCTGTCTCCACATCTGGTAATGAAATATCGGAATCGAGCCAACCCTCTGTGCCGGTCTTGGTAGTCCAGTTCCTGAACCAGGTGGGTCCGCAGGACTCCAGGACAAAGCTGATGACTGACCAGCCAGCCTGGCTCATCGGTAGGACTTGAAAGAGCAGACCAGTCACAAGGGGCAGGGATTCTTCCTTCCTGGCTCCTGTTAACCCCTGCCTCCGCTTGGCTGGATCCAGCCTCCGTTCGTCCCTAGTCCCATCCGCTTCGCCATCTGTGGCAGTACCTTCAGCTACCACGCCCCCAAACTCTGGAACTCTTTCCCTCAATTCCTGCACTTCCCCACCTTTAAATCGTGCCTAAAGACCTTCCTTTTTGATCGTGCTTACAGTCACTTTTCCTTCTCTCTCTCCCCCTGGCTCAGGGTCAGATTTCACCACTGTGAAGCCCTCCGGGAGGCTACCCTGCGTGAAGGACGCTTTATAAATGCAAGTTGTTGTTATTTGCATTCTGAAGCCTAATGGGTTGGGTCATCCTATCTGAACAAGCAGCAGCGAGTTTGCTTGACAGTGTTCGCAATGGCATTAGTTGGTTAAACTCCAACAGCGCCCCAATGTACACTCTGCTAGATATCCCTATTCCAGACTCAGGGAAATGTTATGAATGAGTGGAGATTTGGATTTGGATGATTTGGATACTCTCACATATGGAGCGGGATTTCTGCTTATGTCAGACTCCTTGCTGATCACTGTGTTGGGGCCACAATGTATGAATACAAAATGACTGTCAGTATGTTTCCTACCTCGTCCATTTCTCTACCGGTTAGCAACCTTAGCAGTGACACGCAGCAACATCGGCAAAGTTACTAAGGACTAAGATACCCTCGTCTGCCCAAAGCTGGTCAGTTTATAGACAATCATAAACACCGTGCCCACAGATTCTAGACTGGCCAGGGAGCTAAGCTGTCACTTTGACACCCCACCCTTTTCCCATTTTTCCCTAACAGAACGTATCTGGAGCCATAAGCAAAGACCAGGTTGCCTGGAGGGATGGTAGATAGCAAGTCACTAGACACAACAACAACTTGCATTTATATAACGCCCTTCACACAGGTTACTATCTCAACACACTTACGGTTGACAGTCAGGGAGACTTGGTAGCATAGATCCTGTGAGCCAAAGCTCTAACAGTAGTGCCCTAGATGGTATGCATTGTGCTTGTCATTGCCACGACCATAACCCTACATTTATGGGGGTTGGGAGGAGGGGTATATTAAGTCTTTAGAGAAACTACAACTTACTTCTCACGTTAAAAATCACTTCAAGATGGGTGCGTGTTTTCCATTTCCATTTTGATCAGCCTGTTACTCGACACACATGGAAACTGATCACCATATTATAAACCTTTACCTGATGTGAAATACTGAGTGTCTCTGCCAACGTGCTGATCTGGCTTAAGATGCTAAAGTCTTCCTCCAGGCGACTGAGGGTTTTCTGAATGTTTTCTCGATTGGTGGTCTGCGATTGACCTACAATACAAACCAATAAAACAGAATTAGGCACAAACTACAGTGAGGTAACTAAGTCACTGGTGATGAGTATGATGATTAGATACTGTGCAATACTGAGTGTCTGGTCTCCATTTATCCATAACAGATTCCAATGTGCAGGGGAGCTCGTCTCTGCGATACCCACACAAATACATGGTGAGGTTACCAGGACTGTGAACCTGCAGTGCAAAGGTATGTGTGTTTTAATTAACAATCTGTTACAGGTACAGTGTGTGGTTAGAGACTGACAGACAAGACCGACAGACAAACAGACAAGGCAAACAGAAAGACAGACAGATAAAGGGAGTGAGAGTCAGAGTGAAAACCAAACAGATAAAAAATGAGATGGAAACAGATGGAAAGGCAGAGAAAAAGAGAAAAGAATCGTAATTGAGAAAGAACAGAGAGAGAGTATTAATACAGAGAGACAAAGAGAGAAAGAGATGACTATTGCAGAGTATAATTGCCAATGGAAGTTTTCAGTGAACACTGTAGTCAATGTGTATTTTGCATGATGTCCAGTCCTCCACAGCGTTTCCTTAGCCATAATGGGTGTTGGTCCCAATTAACTTGTTAAAATAATAAAAAGTCCTGATTTTCAAACACACTCGATTTTGATTCACTATTTTACTGATATTGCAAGTGGTGGGTTTAATTTTATTTATGCTATAAAATGGCTCTTAATTCCATTAAACATTGCCTATTAAAAAAAACGGGCCGGAACTCACTCTGTGCTTTAACTCACGGGAGTTTGCTGAGTTCCTCCTTGGGTAAGAGAAACAAACACCAACTATTATTGAAAACAGTAATGTTTCTTTTACAGTGTTGACTTTACTGTTATGAAAGCCTAGGCAAATTGATGTTACATTCCCTAGATCTGAGGTTAAGAGATGATCTGATTAAGGTGTTTAAAATAATGGAGGGAATTGGCAGGTTGGATAGGGGATGGTTCTTCCCTCTAGGAAAGGAGGTTGGAAAAAAGAGGAAAATCATCTTAAAATTAGAGCTAAGACAGTTAGAAGTGAGATCAGAAAACACTTCTTCACACAAAGGTTTTGTGGATTGCACCATTGTAGGAGGCCATTCAGGCAGAATCGGGATGTTTAAAAAAGGAGATAGACAGAAATGTGAGTAGTAATGATAATTGTAAGGGAAGAGAAAATACAACACAAATTTACATTTATATAGCGCATTCGCATCAGGAGAATGTCCCAAAGCACTTAACATTGCAGATAAAACTAGCTATTAAGGAACATTTTGGGACATTGCTGTGTGCGAATTAGCTGCCACATTGGCCTACAAATATTCACAGTCACTACATTTTACAGTAAAATCCTGTGAAGCATTTTGAGACATCTTCCTGACGTGAAAGGTCAATGCAAGGTTTATTTCTTCAAGACAACCAGCTAAATAATAATAATCCTTACATTTGCATTTGACTGTAGTTAACTGCTAAACAACATATATCAGAGGATTTGTGAAGGGTAAACAAGAGTGACACAGACCTTTAACAATGTCCAGATCTTCCAGCGGCATCTTCCAGAGGAATTTGTATTTACTTGCGGTGTCTATCACACTCCCAGCTGTGTAACTATTGGAAGGAAAGGACAGTCTATGTCAGGGCAAAACTAATGGTCCTTCACTGATGGGACAGACAATGGGGTCAAAACAGCGCTATTCCTAAAGACATTTAAGGAACATCAATAAAATGTTTTGCAATCTCTCCCCCCAGTTTTACATAATAGTAGCGTCTAAATCCAGCTGAAAAGCGCTGGATTTTACCATCTTGGATTCTTGGTATAAGTGGGGACTGTTTTTGAGCACCAAAAGGTAGCCTTTCCGGGCTTAGATTCAGAACTAAATCAGAGTGTACAACAACTTCAATTTATATAGCGACATTCACGCAGGTTAGCATCTCTGAGCCCTGAAATAAGCCGCAAGAAACTCTTTTACTCGCTCGAGGATTCCGACACAGCCCTCGCTGAAATCGTCAGGCCCAAACCGGACGATAGAGGGAAGTGAATCAGCCAGGGAGCTTGAGATGTAAAGCCTGAGTGAGGAGAAGAGGTCCCAGAGACACAAAGTTCCACCAAGCCTTAGCCTGTTTGACAATTTAAGTTTAAAATGTAAGATTTCTTCAATTTGGTCTGAATTTGGAAGCCAGTTCTTTTTAAGAACAATGGCAAATCATCTTCCAAATTGAGACTTAATTTGAGAATTTAAGAATTTACCCCCTCTGTTCCCATCACCCATCAAACTATTGCCATCAAACTATTGCTTAAATGAGTCTCCTGTCCTGTTTCATTCACCCTTTAAGTGAATGAACCTTTTAGTGAAGGAACTGCAACCTGTTCCAGTCATTAATTACGCTTCAAGTAAAGAAATACCTCCTGGCGTCTGTCCTGAAGTTGCTCTTTGTAACCCTGAACCTGTGTCCTCTTGTTCTACAGCCTTGGCGTATCTGAAAGTATTGCTCAATACCATTTAGTAGCTTATTCAGCACTAGAAGGCCCCCTGTATTCCGGGCAGAAGAAGTTGAATACTCACAGGCTAATGGAGCTCCGCCGGAGAGAGCCAGTTTTACGCTTCAAAGTTGTACAAATGATCAGGTCCGTGAACAGAAAGAGCGAACGTTCCTTCTTACTGCTGACTGTTTTCTGTACGATGACAAGAAGAATAAGGGTAAGGATTTGCCGCCTGGGTAGGTCAATGCAGAAACGATCAGGCACTCTCACACTTACTACACTGATAGAAATTTACAACCCACTTTCAGCCAGCAGAAATACAACATGTAGATGACCCAATGTAATTGAAAACTAACCTGCCACCAGAAAATACATCCGTGTAAAGACTGGTTGTTTTCCAAGTGGTTTTAAACCTCCTAACCCCCTACTAATCCACCCGTTCCCTCTGCTCAGCCGGCTCTGGCCTGCTCCACGTCTCCGACCCACCCGCCCCACCATTAGCGGGAGAGCCTTCAGCCACTCTGCTTCCAACCTCTGGAATTCCATCCCCCAGTCACTCCATCTCGCCCCCTGCTTCACCTCCTTCAAGCTCCTCTTCGACCATGCCATCGGCCATCCCCCTTCTCGTCCCCTCCTTTCTCCCACCCTGACCCCAGCTCGGGTCTGAAATGCTGTACTCTGTCCAGCGCCTTGGGACGTCCTCCTGACTTGAAAGGCGCTATACAAATGTAATCTTGTTGCTGTTGTTGTTGTTGTTAAAGGAAGTCTGGCTAAGGACCTCAGCTCGCTTTAACTATCAGCTGTCCTAATACAAGATGTGACGACACTGTAGTTATGTGTCTGCCTGGTGACATGCGTGCCTCTAGGATGGGATGCATAACTACATGCATGGTTGCTGGCCCAAATGCATTGCTGCACGGTGACACGTTTGGCAAGCAATGGAAGGTGGCTGGCTGCAAGACAACATAACTCACTTGGGTAGGTGTTCCGTGCTAATAATCCCTCCAAAAAAACAAAAAAAACCAATAATAAATTGGTCATTTTCAATCTACGACTGTTTGTGGGACATTGCTGTGCGCAATTGGCTGCCGCGTTCGCCCACAAAAAATATACAGTCAATTCACTTTACAGTGTGTTCTGTGAAGCGCTTTGGGACGTCCTCCCGACGTGAAAAGCGCTATATCAAATGCAAGGATTATTATTAGTTGTGGGAGTGCCCTGCTTGACTGCAGAATGATAATGGGGCTATAATAATAACGACAAATGCACAAATGTCCCAAACTACCTATGTGCTATATCCCAAAATGTTATTTCCTAAAAGAAAACTATCTAATCTGCATTTGAGGGGATCAACATTTCCTGCTTCAACCGCCTCTCCAGGGAGCCTGTACCATAGGTTCACTATTCGCTCACTGAAATAGTGTTTGCATAGATTCATTCTGAATTTACCCGCTTCAATCGCAGGCCATAATAAATAATAATAATAATAATCCTTGCATTTGATATAGCGCTTTTCACGTCGGGAGGACGTCCCAAAGCGCTTCACAGAATATACTGTAAAGTGAATTGACCGTATATTTGTGGGCGAACGCGGCAGCCAATTGCGCACAGCAGTGTCCCACAAACAGTCGTAGATTGAAAATGACCAATTTAATTATTGTTTTTGGGTTTTGGAGGGATTATTATTAGGCTCTGTGTGGAGTAAGGAAACTTGCCCAAGGTTTCGCCCTCTGCCTGGAATTGAACTCCGGTCTCTCGCTTGCAAAGCGAGTGCTCTAACCACTGAGCTACAGGACTCCACAATGTCCTCTGGTTTTACTATTCTGGACAAGTTGAAACAGCCTGTCATGATCTATATTGTTGCCCCTTTAGAATCTTAAAGACAGCAATCATGTCACCTCTCAATCTTCTCTTTTCCAGTGTGAACATGCCCAATTTACTTAGTCGCTCCTCATAGTCCAGTCCCTCCATTCCCTCAATCATTTTGGTTGCCCTCCTCTGTTTCTTCTCGATTTCCCCAATCTCCTTTTTGTACTGCGGCAGCCAGAACTGCACACAGTATTCTGTTTATGGTCTCACCATACTTGGAGTACTTATGTCCTACGAACAGTTATGAAGTGAATGTCCAATTTTTTTTTAAATCTGGGATGTTGTTGGCCAGGACACCGGAAGAAACTCCCCACTCTTTTCGAATAGTGCCATGGGATCTTTAACATCCACCTGAATAGGCAGACAGGACCTCAGTTTGACATCTCATCCAACGGTCAGCCCCCTTGATAATGTAACCTTACCCCAGCACTGCATTGGAATGTCATCCTGGACCATGAGGTCAAAGTCCCAACCAGGACTTGAACGCACACCTTTTGACCTAGAGATGAGAGTGCTACCAGCCGAGCCAGGCTGACACCTATAACAAGCATGATGCCCAATATCATTGTTAGTGTGGGTTGGTGTGTGTCAGCATAGTGATGTGCATGCACTGATGTGCTTGACAGTGGGGTCTCTATCCATGACCACGTGTGTGGCTGTAGAGTGATGACCTGTGTAGCTAAGCAATGACACACCAAGTGGAGAAATGTCAAGAGATTGTCCTTCGTTCTTTGAAAAGAAGATGAATGAAGTCCAGAGATCACCGAAATAGCTAAAATGGTGGTTTACATCCTAATTGAAGGCATCTGCAGCAATTTGCACAAGTTGAGCCCCTGAAAACCCTCCAAATTAACCATGTCCACATTCCGTATACTTTGCAGACTGTTCTTACCACTTCAATCACCATCTCCTGCCTTAAGAACTTCCTGTGAGGAACCAGAAGCTGTAGGAAAGAGTAACAAAATACCTTATTAGGGCACTCGGTAAAGCTCTAAGGACATAGTTGACAATCTGTATATGCAATTAACTTTACTTTACAATACGCAGGGAAACACCTATATCATTCTCACAGGAGGTATGGGAACATAAGGTAGTGCACAGGAAGGGCCATAGATCAGAGACAGATCTGGAATTTACAGTAAACAGATGGAACATCCATCAAATATAAGACCTGCACTTAAGGGAAATTCGGGACTGTACTGTCTTCTAATTTATGTTCGTTCAGACTTTTGGAAACAATATTAAATTCAGTCTTAACCTGGAAGGTGGTTTTGCGAACTTCTCAAAATCAGCTTCCAAGTCAAGAGTGAATTGAAGGAGTTCCAAAGTTCTGCACAATCTAAAACATTTTAGTCTTAAGAAAGAAAAGAATGTGCATTTTTACAGTAGCTCATCACACTGAAATGGAGACAAAACTCTTCACAGTAATTACTGTCAAGTGTCATGATTGTTTAGTAGGCACACACAATAGCTGTTTTGTGCACAGCAAGGTGTCACAAAAAAACCTTGTGGTAGATGAATGGCCTATTTAACCGGAGGTTTTGTTAGACAGGACACCAGGAGAAGCTCCCTTCTCATTTCAAATGGGGTCCTGGGATCTTTGACATCAATCTGAAAAACATGCAGGCGGGAACTTGGTTTAACGTCCTGTCCAAGGGCGGAAGCTACGACCATGGCTGTGCCAAATGGCTTGGTGTCAGGCTCCACCAATGTTAAACACTACCCCGCATGAAGAGTGCTATGTAAATCAAAGTTGCTGCAGTAGTAAACAGCATTTGCACCTCCTCGTGGATTCGCACGTCCATCATGCCCTCTATGTGGGATTCAATCTCCAGCAGGATGCGAGCCTCTTTCTCTGCCTCCTCTGCATTCTTCTTCCCCTTGTTTATCCTTTCGGCGAGCAGCTTGACATACCGCTGTGCTGCGAGCAGGCACGAGTGATCGGGGTGGTCCTCAGGCGTGTGTTTCAGTAGATCCTGTCAAGTAGAAAAGGAAACAAGTTTATAGGTCGCCGGTCATCTTATTGGCAACAACAAATTGCATTGATATAGTGCCTTTCACGTCAGGAGGACGATAATAATAATAAAAATGACCCTAGCATTTGATAGAATGCATTTCACATCAGGTGGATGTCTCAAAGCTCTTCATTGGATATAGGGTAAAGTGTAGTGATTATATTTTGTAAGCGAACATGGCAGCCAATTTTCCTACAGTGTTGTCCAACAAACAGCAAAGAAGTGAATGACCAATTTTATTTGGGGGACACGACCCACGACACTGGGCAGTCAGAAATTTGGACCTGAGCTGGGGGTTGGATTCAGGAGGGGGTGGAGGGCAGGAAGGGTAGGAGGATAGGAGTGAAAGGATAACCGAAGGCGCAGTCGAAGAGGAGGGTCTTGAGATGGACCTTGAAGGAGGCGAGGGAGGAAGTGAAGTGAAAGGACTGTAGGATTTCCCTTTATGTCTTATTCATCACTTCCAACTACGGAGGACTCCCCGAGCATTACGCAGGAGTGCCAACCTAAACTTGATGCGGGACTTCAACCCACAATCTTCTGACTCAGAGGTGTCAGGGCTACCTACTGAGCCAGGTAGTACAGCACAGAAGGAGGTCAGTCGGCCCTTTGCTTCAGGGCCAAGAAGGCGTCTGGAACCACAGGCAGATGTGATGTAATGCCTCAAGTAGAGGGGAGAGAGCTGGGAAGTCACAATCAACAACAACAACAAGATTACATTTGTATAGTGCCTTTCACGGCGGGAGGACGTCCCAAGGCGCTGGACAGAGTACAGCATTTCAGACCCGAGCTGGAGTAGGGGGGTGGGGGGGGGGGGGGAAGGGAGGGGAGGGGAAGGGGGGTGGCCGATGGCATGGTCGAAGAGGAGGGACTTGAGGCAGGACTTGAAGGAGTCTAAGGAGGGGGCGAGTCGGAGTGATTGGGGGATGGAATTCCAGAGGTTGGGGGCAGAGTGGCTGAAGGCTCTCCCGCCAATGGTGGGGCGGGTGGGTCCTGGGACATGGAGCAGCCCAGAGCCGGCTGAGAGGAGGGAACGGGCGGGCTGATAGGGGGTTAGGAGGTTGCAGAGGTAGGGTGGGGCGACGCCATGGAGGACTTTGTAGGTGAGGACCAGGATGTTGAACTGGATCCTTTGAAGACAGGGAGCCAATGGAGTCGGGCGAGAGTGGGGGAGATGGGGTCACGGAGTTTGGGGCAGGAGAAGACACGGGCTGCAGAGTTCTGGATTATCTGCAGCCTGTGGAGGGAGCAGTTGGGAAGGCCGACAAGCAGGAGTTTGCATAGTCGAGCCTGGAAGTGATGAAGGCATGAACAAGAGTGGGTGGGGGTGGGCCATGAAGGAGAGGTGATGTGGCGGTGGCTGTGGATGGGGCTGAGGTGGCTGAACGTATCCCCTTGATTTTAGATTCAAGGAAGTCCAGCATCTCCTCACAGTTGGAGTTTGAGGAGAGGATGGGCGAGGTATGGGAAGGTGGATGGAGGAGACAGTCAGTGGTGGTAAAGAGAAGCCTGGGGGTTGTCCTTTGCTTCCAAGATAACCTTGGAGTAAAAGGAGGATTTGGCAGAGGCAATATCGCAGTGGTAGGTCTTGGTGTGGTGAAGCCAGATCTGCCGATGGACCGTTAGTTTGGATTTGGTCCAGGCGAGTTCGGCAGCTCAGAGGAAAAGTATTCCAACTCACTGCTAAGTATCAGAATTAAACAAAAAAGAGGTTAAGCATGATTTATCATGTGCATAGATGTTGGGTCTTGGCTTTTTATGTTGCAATGTAGGATAGTTGTCTCTTATGCTGGCTTTAGACAAAAGAACAGTGTCGGCAAGTCATATTTTACTGGTATTTAGCTTGGCCAGCTCTAGGAGACCTGAATTTTGAAACCCATCACAGTGGCTGACCACTGTTATTGCTTCTGACCAGCAATATTGCTGCCCAAATGTCTGCTGTTATCAAAGTCATAGCTTCACTGGAGACTTATTGCTAACAGAGTTGTCAAAAACAAAAATAAAGGCTGAACTAGATCTCTGTTGTACTTTGGCCAATTTCATTCTTTGTTGATATCTATAAAAGGATTTGGTTTCCATCCCGTCTACCCATATGTCGGGCATTATTTTAAGATCCAACATTGTAGTCCAAATGTCCAAACTCCGAGCCAAAAAGAGATACAGTGAGAAAATGAGGGGAACAAATACGATTAAATGAATTATAAAATAATGGTAAAATGTGTTATGTGATGTGCTATTTGTGAAAATTATGCTGCATTTCTTAACCTTTACCCAATTGGAATATATACCATATAATAATAATAATCCTTGCATTTGATATAGCGCCTTATCACATCTTTGAGACGTCTCAAAGCGCTTCACAGAATATACTGTAAAGTGAATTGAATGTATATTTTGTGGGCGAAACGTCTCAACCAATTGAGCACAGCCACGTCCCACAAACAGTCATGGATTGAGTGACCAAATTATTATTATTATTCTTGTTTTGAAGGGATTATCATGTTTGCCCACAAATATACAGTCAATTCACTTTACAGTGTGTTCTGTGAAGCGCTTTGGGACGCCCTCCTGACGTGAAAAGCGCTATATCAAATGCAAGGATTATTATTATTATTATTATTATTATTACTCCCCGAAAAGCGATCCGCCCATCGACTAACAATTGGGTTCCTACTTACCACTAGGTAAACAGAGGCGTGTGGAGTCAGGAAACTTGCCCAACGTTTCACCCTGTCCAAGAATCGAACCCAGGTCTTTTTGCTTGCGAGGCAAGTGCTCTAACCACTAAGCTACAGGACTCCACAAATACTCCACGTACACGGTATATATAATACACACACACATTGGATTGCCATGACGATTAAAAAAACTTGAGGGGTTGAAGGAAAAAGTGACTAATCCAAAAAAATAAACAGGTCTCTCAAGGCAGATTTACTGAGGACATTACATCTCAAATGCATTTCGAATTTAGCATTTAGCATAATGATTAAATTAAACATCTAGCTGGAAGCTGCTGTAATCCCTTCATTCCTTCAAACAAATGACCTATATCCACACGTCTGATGCAAGGCAATCTGTCTGTTATTTTTACAAGGTCGCATACTGCATGTTAAATGGTATTACTTCAGCCTCTGTGGCTGCAGGTCAAGACATGTTCAGGCCAAATAGAAATGTTAGTTGAAGTGCTTTGTGGCAGAGCTGACACTAAGTACTGATTATAAAGGATGGCAATATACAAATCGTCTGGTTTCTGAGTCAGGCGGGTCTGCAGTATTCCAGGTCACTGCTGATGATAGCACAGCCCGCCTGGCTCAAGGGGAGACCAATCACTGGGAATAGGGAATCATCCCACTCAACAACAACAACAACAAGATTACATTTGTAAAGTGCCTTTCACGTCGGGAGGACGTCCCAAGGCGCTGGACAGAGTACAGCGTTTCAGACCCGAGCTGGGGTCAGGGGGAGGAGAAGGGAGGGGAAGGGAAGGGGGGTGGCTGATGGCATGGTCGAAGAGGAGGGTCTTGAGGCGGGACTTGAAGGAGTCTAAGGAGGGGCGAGGCGGAGTGATTGGGGGATGGAATTCCAGAGGTTGGGGGCAGAGTGGCTGAAGGCTCTCCTGCCAATGGTAGGTCAGGGGACGTGGAGCAGGCCAGAGCCGGCTGAGCGGAGGGAACGGGCAGGTTGCTAGGGGGTTAGGAGGTTGCAGAGGTAGGGAATTAGATAAGTGGGTTGCATGCCTCCAGGGGGAGAGTGCACATCCCATTCCAACAATCTATCCTTGGAATTTCCATGTCTAGGTGGGATGAATGGAATTCTCAGTTTGGTTTGGATACTCTTACGCACGGTGATGGGTTTCTCCATGTGCCAGACACACGGCCTCAAAGAAACAACACTGGACGTGAAGCCCAAAAATGATGTAATAAGTTACATGAAAATCTGCTGCATTCTATGGTTTAATTATCCTGATCGTTAGACAAAAGTTGGAAGGAGCTGACAGTTTTTATTCTCTCCCATCAGTTTCATTATACGAATGACAATGCTGTCACTCTGCATCTGGGCAAACTTTGGATTAGTGAAGTAATGTTTTCACAGTAATTTAATTTAAAAACATCACGGGATATTTATGCTTTTTTATTCCAAATAAAACATACATTTAACCTACAGTTACATTTGCCCGTTAGGATTTTTCTTTCCCACTAATGAGTAAAACAGACACAACCCTGAAACTGCTGAAGGTGCTTCCCAACTACTTCAAAGGCTTTCAGGTGATATAATAATAATCCTTGCATTTGATATAACGCCTTATCACGTCTTCGAGACGTCTCAAAGCGCTTCACAGAATATACTGTAAAGTGAATTGACTGTATATTTTGTGGGCGAAACGCGGCATCCAATTGCGCACAGCAGTGTCCCACAAACAGTGGTAGTTTGAGTGACCAATTTAATATATATTTTTTGAAGGCATTATTACCCCCAGAAAAGTGATCCGCCAATCAACTAACAACCGGATTCCTCCTTACTGCTGGGTAAACAGAGGTGTGTGGAGTAAGGAAACTTTCGCCCTGCCAGGAATTGAACCCCGGTCTCTGCTTGCGAGGCGAGTATTCTAACGACTGAGCTACGGGACTCCACTGATAGCCTGGTGCAGTGTCAGGTCGAGTGAGAAGGTTGTGGGTTGAAGCTACAAGTCGGGACTTGGAATCACATCGTCTAAAATCACACTCCAATGCAGTGCTTCAGGTGGGCTGCAATATTGGAGCTGCTGTCCTTCGGAGGGGACGTTAAACTGAAGTGCCGTCTGCTTGTTCAAGTGGACCAATTTCAGATTGGGCAACTGGGATGGATAAATGTGAATTAAAAAACAAAACAAATACGGAAATGTCTGACACATGGAAAACCACCACCATACTTAAGAGTATCCGAACCAGTCTGAGAATTCCACGTGTGTATTCCACATGCAC